CAATCACGCGCCAAAGCCGAGAGCCCCCGCCGCCCCACGTGGGGTGGCTCCCTGCTAGGGGAGGGCGGGGCGGGAGTGGGGACGCGCACCGCGCGCCTCGGGGACCTGACGGCGACCGCGTTGCCCTGGGGATCCCTGCGGTCCCGTGGGGGCGTCGTCAGGCTCCTTCAGCGCCTCGGGAGCGCAGAGCCTCCCGGGCGGGCGGTAGTGGGGCCAACGCGGGGCTGTCCCTGCCCCCCCTGGGAGGTGACGGGGAGGCAGAAGAGCGCCACCTGGGTTTGCTCGGAGGCTGAAGCGGGTGGGGTGGAGGGAAGAAGACACGGTCCTGCTGTTCAGTGGGGGAGGCATCGATTCATTCTTGGATGGAGTCCGGCTTTGACACTTCTCATGCCCTGGGGACACAAAGAGAGGTGGCCCCCGTTCAGGCTTGGGGATAGCCTCCCCCTGACCGTTTCCATTAGCCTCCCCTCCAAACTACTCCAAGTGGAACATGCAAGAATGTTTTTTGATACGGGCAATTGATGCGGTCTTACATTTTTATGGCACCCTCAGACGGGACATTTGGGGAGAGTTGAATAAATGGAAAATACATGAATTAAAGGAGAGATGTGTGGTGCCCAGGCTAGTAACGAAGGGGAGCTGTAGTGGAGAAATGGGCCCCTTTCAGGAGCTGTGACCTTAGAAAGGGCACGCAGTGACCTGGCAGGGAGGTACTGGGTGGTGTATACGTTCCTCAGGCTTTCTAGTGCTCCCCACTGACTGGATCCAGGCCCACCTTGGAGCAAAGGAAGCTGGGCTGACATGTCTACAGCCAGTTTGTGTTGCGGACGGGAGAGCTGGGTGGTGGTGGTGTGTCAGGGTGCCCGGGGCCAGCGACAGGAGTGTGTCCTGCACCCGCTCAAGTGTGTCACAAAAGACTGGGTTTTTGCTTCGTGAGCAGTAGGTCCATGCCGCATAGGTGTGTCCTGTCTCCTACTGAGGCAGCCTCGCGATGGATAGGTGGGATTGGGTTGAACCTTTTCCACTGTAGAAGACATCTTGTAAGTCGGAGCTAGGAGACGGAGGATGCTGCTGTTCAGGTGTCTCAGCTGCCCTCCTAGGCGAGCCCTTTCCATTAGGTACCTTGACGTCTCTGCAGTGGGCTCAGGGCAGTAGTGGGACCCTGAGTTCTGTCTCGGGGACTTGGATCCTCTTTATGGGTGTCCTCTCAAGGGTGCCTTGTCGGCCAGCACACACTGGAGTTTGCCCAGATGGCTCTGAGGTCAGGGAGCCTTCGTTAATTCAACATGTCTTTTGGGAGAGGTCCTTCTGTATGTAACAGGATAGGCTCAGCCCTGGGGGTGCTCAAGAAAAGAAAGGCACAGTCCAGGCTTGGAGAAATTTGTGGTTCACTGTGTGGCCATGCTCACGCCCAGATGAAGTACTGGAGCCCCAGAGGTCCAGAAAGCCAGGGGCAAGGGAAAGATTTGGTGCTTGAGGCAGTTTTGAAAGACAATTAGGAGTTGGGTGGTGGAGAAGGGATGACACCAGGTGTTCCAAGAATGTGGCCTCTGGCAGATGTGGTCGTGTGCAGGGGGTCTCTGACACGTGGAAGTCAGGGGACACTGGCAATGCCCCCCTTCCATACGGAGATACTAACAGGGTTATTGCGTGGCTGCAAGGAGAATGTGCTGTGTGCAGTCCCGTGTCTCGAGATTGGCAATTACAGGCTCCATGCTCATGCATGCGCCGTCAGTACAGGCGCTGGTTGCAGTTGGGGAGGTTGTTGTGGCTTGTGAGATGAGGTGTCTGTGTGGGGATACGGATGGCTTTCTTGCTCTTCCATTGCATGCGGCTGGCCTCACCTGTCCCCTGTTGCTGTCCTACAGTGCAACAGGTCTGCCCGCAGAGTCCTCAGCCTGTCGGCCAACCCAGACAGCCTTCTTGTGAGCAGGGGCAGCAGATACATACATGACTGCTTTGCCTCCAACCCCAATTCTTCTGTTAAAAACTGCTGCTTGTAGTCCTGGAACCAACAGTGTTAGGTCCAGATCCAGTGGCTCTGAGCCCCAGGGCAGCCAGAGAACTGTACTTTGGAGGTGGAGCAGCCCTGGCTGTGGTGCTGGGGTACAGTGCCCTGGGCAGTTGGAACAACCTCAACATGCCAGGAAGGGCAGACGTCGTTTCCTGATGAGACCATAGAGAAGATGGTCCAAGGGCGTCTGGAGAACAATAGCTCGACCCTGGGATGGTGGTGTAGAGCCCAGAGCCCCCAAATGCTCTAAAATAGGGAAGAAGACAGGAAACACAAAAGCTGATCTGATGGTTGTGCTGACAAGACAATTCCTGCAGACACACATGTGGCAGTGTGACATTCGACAGATCCTTTGTCTGTCTGTCTGCATGCATGTATTTTGTGGTGCTGGGGATTCACCCCAGGGCCTGGGGTGTTTTAGGAAACCTCTCTACCACTGAGCCACACTGCAGCTCTGCCTTCTCTCTCTCTCTCTCTCTCTCTCTCTCTCTCTCTCTCTCTCCCGTTTTTGAAACCAGAACATTTTATTTTTATGACTGACTGAAATCCTCAAGATGAACTGGACGCTGCAACAGCTGCTCTCGGGTTTAGATGTTGTCCCTTCACGGAATCCATGTCTGAATCTTCGAGAGACAATTTTTAGGTGCCTCATCCGCCCAGTCCCGGTAGTGTTTTGCCTCTTAGCCTGGGCACTCCAGTCATACTTTCTCTTGCGCTTAGCAGGGTAGCCACAGTTGCCACAGGTGGACTTCTGAAGGTGATAGGCCTTAGAGCCACAGCGGTGGTACAACGTGTGTGTCTTATTGCGACGCTTTCCAAAGGATGACATTCCTTCCGTCATCTTGCTTCTGCCACAGAGGCCAAAGAGACTGGAAGAGCCTCTTTTTCTCTTAAAGTGCACTATTCCTAGATGCTCGAGGTAGAACATCTGCCCTGGTTGTCTCCCCCCCTGTCCCTCTTTGCCAGGCCTCACCCAGGGAGGGTGCTGCACTGTCTAGTTTCTGTCTGGTTGGTTGTTGCTGTCGTACCTGGGGCTTTACTCTGTAGTACTGGGCTTATGCCCGACAGTGCTGGGACCACAGTGTGTTTGCTGGCGTCTGTGTGTGCCCATCCACTGTCATTCAGGGCAGGGCCAGAGCACTCCAGGAGAAGGTGCTAGTGGCCCCTCATCCTGTCAAGCATGTTTACCATCTTGGCCAAAACTCGGTTTCATGCTGGGCATGGTGGCACACACCTTGAATCCCAGCACTCGGGAGGCAGAGGCAGGTAGATCTCTGTGAGTTCAAGGCCAGCCTTGTCAACAGTGCTGGTTCCAGGACAGCCAGGTCTCTGTTACACAGAGAAACCCTATCTCTAAAAAACAAAACAAAATAAGGTACTGAGTTTAATAGCTGCTTGTAGCTGTGGAGGGGGGGGGGAGGCAGAAGCTGGGAGATGTAGTTTTTCCTCTGAAGGAGAAGGAGAGGGTTGGTATTGGGGCTGTTCCTGGTAGCTTAAAAAAATGTTGATGCCGAAAGCAGGAGATGGACAATAGTCGTTGACTCTCCAAAGCCACATGCAGGAGGCAGCCATGTCTTTGTTGCAGCTGCCTGGCCAACACCAGCTCTATCACAGACAAGGGCACTAGTTCCTGGGGAGCTGATTAGCCTGCCCAATCCAGCTGGGGACAGCCTAAGGAGAGGCAGGCTAAGAAAGCTCCAGAACTTCCATCATGAGGTGCTGTCTCCCTCTCTGTGTCTAAACTCAAAATGCTTCGTGGACCTTCATGTCATCCTTGTGCAGGAGCCATGCTAATCTCTGGATGGCTCCAATTTTATTATATATGCTGCCACTGAGGTGAGCACAAGACTGTCACTTTCCTCACACTGTCCTTCTCTTTGGATTCCTTGAGAAGTTGTGCGACCTTTTTTGTTGTTTTGAGACTAGATTCTGCTATGTAATGCTGGTTGGCCTGGCTGGCACTCATTCTGTAGACCTGGCTGCCTCACACTCAGAGATCTGTCGGCCTCTGCCTCCTGAGGGCTGGATTAAAGATGTGCACCACCATCTCCTGGTTATCCTTTTTTATTTTTTGAGACAGGGTTTTACAGTAACCTTGGCTTGGAACTTATTCTGTAAATCAGGCTGGCATAATTTACAGAGATCCACCTGCCTGTGCTTCTTAAGTGCTGGTGGGATTAATGGTGTTAGCCACCATGCTGGCCTGAGCCTTAATCTCAGCCACAGTTATGACAGTTGCTACCCCCGGTCCAAGGGAAGAAGTGCTGTTCGCTCTCGGTGTTGGAGTCTCACAGGCATGCTCTGTTTAATTTGAAGCTGCTTCCGGATATGAAACGCATGTGGCCCCAGCCAAGGAGCTACAAGTCAAGGTGCCCTCCTTTCTTGAGGCACCTCCATTTTAAGTTTCCCGAGTTGTTCCTGGGCAGAGCTGCAGATGGGAGGGCCACACCCCAGTGGAAAGGCCATGCCCTGCTGGAAGGGCCAGGCCCTGGTGGGAGGGCTAGTCCTTAGCCTTGGGGTCAGCCCCTGTAGTCTGTCCCATCAGAGTTGCTAAGGTCCATCATCGCATTGGCTCTCCACAGGGAACAGTTTTGAGGTTCCCCGTCTACATGCCGGCCAACCTGCCGGCCCACATCCTATCCTCATCTTCCTGGGGCCATGGTTGAGGGTCCTCGTCCCTGAGCCTCCTGGTGTCTTGCTGTAGGCCCCATGCTGCAGATGGCAAGGCTCTGACACACGACAGGAAGCAAAGCCCTGGACACTGATGTGACCAGAAAAACCCCAATGTGTAGCAGGCTTTTCTGGACCACCAGCCCCCAAATCATGACATGGAGACTTAATATTAGTTATGAATGCCTGGCCTTAGCTTAGGATCGTTTCTAACTAGCTCTTACAACTTAAATTAACCCATTTCTATTCATCTTTGTGCTCTCACGTGGCTCATGGCTTTTACCTCTCCTGCGTGTCCTGCATCCAGGGCATCTGGCCGGTGACTTCTTCCCCAAGACTTCTCTGTCCCCAGAAGTCCCACCTAACCTCTTCTTGCCCGGCTATTGGCCATTCAGCTCTTTATTAAACCAATCACAGGGACACATCTTTACAAAGTGTAAAGGAATATTCCACAACACCAACTCCTCTCACTATTTCTGCCTCTGGGCGGGCCCTGCTCCAGGCCTGCAGGGCTTTGGGTACCCAGGCAGCAGTGAGGAGTCATGACTCAGCTTCTTGTGAAACTATTCTCACACTCGGTTGCTATGGGGATAGATGGGGCACTCTACAGAGAGACCATGGTTTGTAGTGTCCACTAAGGCAAGAACAAGTTATTGCCTGTGCCATGATGGAAGCCAGGGCACTGGTAAGTTGCATGACATCTTGGAATTGGAAGTGTGAAGATTTTGTTTTTTTTTTTTTTTTTTTTTGAGACAGGGTCTCTTGTAGGCCAAACTACCCTCAAACTCTCTATACAGCTGAGCTAGCCTTGAATTTGATTTTCTTGTCTCTACTTCCCAAGTCCTGGGATTACTAGCATGTACTGCCAAGATGTGTTCTCTTCTTTTGTCAATGGGAATGCTGACTCACTGTGCACCTGACAGAGTCCCCTGATGGGGTTCTTTGTGCCCACAAGTCCATCAAGCAAGCCTTGGGCTGGTGGGAAGGTCATGTGCCCTCTTGATTGTCTCCTTTGTCCTTTGCTGGGCATAGTGAGTACCTTCTATGCCACCAATGTCCTTTAGCCTCAGAAACAGAGACAGTTGCCCCATGCTTTTTATCAACACTTTTGTTTGTTTTCCTGTGGAGAAGTACTGTAAGGACTCATTGTCTGCTTGAGGCTGGGCTGCCACACTTTTGGCTAGCAGGCACTTCTCAGGGGCCATGAACTTGGGGTGAGAGAGGGCCAGCATGACCTCTTTTTCAGAGATCCTTTCTACCCCATGCAGGACAGCTGGGTGCACCTGTTTATGGCCAAGGGAGGCGGGCATACCCAGTTAAATTGGACAGCTGGATTTCACAGTTGCTAGACTTAACCAATAAAATACAAATCATTAGGTTAAATTCAAACTTCAGATGAAGAATGAGTCATTTTTAGCATAAGTATATCCCAAATATTTCATGCAACATTTATGCTACAAATATTTGCTCCTTCTCTAAATTCAAATGAAATCCAAAGTCCTGATTCTATTATTTATTTATTTATTTATTTACTGAGACAGGGTTTCTCTGTGTAGCTTTGGAGCCTCCCCTGGCACTCGCTCTGGAGACCAGGCTGGCCCCGAACGCACAGAGATCCGCCTGCCTCTGCCTCCCGAGCGCTGGGATTAAAGGCGTGCGCCACCAACGCCCAGCCAAAGTCCTGAAATGTATTCAGCAATTCGTCAGAGTCTGGTTTCTGCCAGAGTGTGCTGCAGCGACCACGGCCGGCTAGGTTTGTAGTTATCTCTTCAAGGCCATGCCAAGAAACGCTTCTAAGCCTTTCTCCAGGAGAAAGCCCTCATTGGCTGGTCCTGGGTCAGGTGCCCACCCCGAAGCCAATCACCGTGGCTGGGGGAGGCAGACGTGTTGGCGCGCCCAGGCCCTGCGGCGGGGCCCTGGCCGCCCATGCGGGGCATCTGCCACCCCTCCAGCTCGCCCCCTGCTGGGGCGTCCCGCCCCAGGCCTGCGGGCACCGAATGGGAGACATTCAGGGCTCTGGGCTGCGCTAGGCCCCAGTGCTCCCCTTAGGGTCAGAGAGGGCGGCCGAGGGCCGGGAGCGGAGGTGTCCTCACCCAGCAGCGTGGCTCTCCTCCCCGCAGCCCGAGCCTGTTTCTCCTAAGTGGAAACAGATTTCCCGACAAGGGGCAACATCATAAACTTCTTTGGAGGCTCCCAAATAAAAATGGCTGTTTTGACTTTCCCTCCAAAGCAAACCAACTGTAAGGAGGGCCTCCAGGCCATCGCGCACTGTGGGGAGGCTGCTCGGGAGCTTAGGCAAGGAGGCTCCAGGTGAGGATGGACGGAAACAGGAGCCTTTGTGCTTGCAGCCGCTCTCTGGCTCTCTGATGGCCCGGGACCTTCTGGCGGTATGGCTATGGCGCAGGCTCAAGTGCAGGACGTTTCTGGCGGACACCAGGGGCTGTGAATCTGCAGCTAACCGACTGATTTGAAGGCAGTGGCCTGGAAGGGTTAGGATATGTATGTATGTATGTATGTATGTATGTATGTATGTATGTATTTTTTTTTTCGAGACAGGGTTTCTCTGTGTAGCTTTGGAGCCTATCCTGGCACTCGCTCTGGAGACCAGGCTGGTCTCGAACTCACAGAGATCCGCCTGCCTCTGCCTCCCGAGTGCTGGGATTAAAGGTGTGCGCCACCAACGCCCGGCTAGGTTAGGCAATTCTTTTTTTCTTCATTTTTATTTTTTATTTAAATTAGAAACAAGCTTGTTTTACATGTCAATCCCAGTTCCCTCTCCCTCCCTTCCTCCCCGGCCCCCCCACGGACCTCCTACCCCATCCTCTTTCTGTGCTCCAGGGAGAGTGAGGTAGGTTAGGCAATTCTTCCTCACATATTTACAATCTGTGCATGTCTGCCATGGGGGCCCCAGTGAACAGACAGGAAAACAGCGCAGAGGAGGTCTGCAGACCATACAGCTGGAACGGCAAAGCTTGGAGTAACCCTGGACACTCACAGTCTGCACCCCACAAACCCTCCTTGGACTTGGCAGCTGCTCTCTGTGCTGCTGGGGTCGCCTGCAGCTCCTCCAGCTTCAGGAAGGCCCTCCCCCAAGCCCTCAGGACTCCATGGGGTTGTATGGGGGAAAGAGGTGTCAGAAATGCCGCAAGTGCCCAGAGAATCCCCCTTAATACTGCCCCAAACCTACAGTGACAGGAGGAGGCAAGACCTACTCGCTGTCTGCAGTCTGCATGGGCTGGGTGCTCTCAGGATTCCTTCAGGTGGGGATGGGGGCCAGAGCCCCTGCAGAGTGGGCGGTGGCGTCTGCAGAAAGCACAGTGGGCTCCCTGGGCAGCGCTCCTCCTACACAGCCCTGTCTACAGCAGGGTGCTTTCCAGCACGCGGACCCACTTCTCTCCCAGGGCCAGGTGCTGAGTCCTACCTAAGCCCTGAGTCACCATAGTCAGCACAGGCTCCTGGTGAAGACCGTGTGGGTTTCCAGAGCTGCCCATGGGGTCACAGCACCCCTCCACCCCTCCACCCCTTCAGGGGTGGGGTATTTGGGTGAATCTGATGGATATTCTCCAGAGGTCAGGTTTGAGGGGCAAAGGAGATGGTATCCTTCTCACTCCTGGAAACCTCTCCTGCTCTGTCAACAGGTCTCCTGTTCTGCAAGCCTCTGCCTCAGCCTGCCCAGCTGTGGGGACCTCCCTGCTCCTGCCAAGTTTTTCCGTGGGGGTCCTCCACACGTGCAGAGCAAGAGGCCCATCTCAGATCTGTCAGGTGGGCACAGCAGGTAGATGGCACCTTAACATTTAGTGTAGCTCTCTGAATAGGAGATGAGTGAACGCAGGGCCCTCATGAGCCCCACACCCCAAGATCACCCTCTGCCACCTGGTCCCTGAGGAGCTGCTGGGGAAGCCGGGGCCACATGTCTTCACAGCAAGTGGAAACCTATTTCCCCCATGTTCAGTTGTCCGACTGAGGCCTTGTTATTTCTCCTTGTCTGAATCCCACCAGGGGGTGTTGAATCTGAACATGGGATATAAAGGTGATTTTCCTACACGGGAGCTGAGTTCTTGGGGGTCCCTGTAGGGACTGTGTTTGTCCTACCCACACGCTGGTTCCAAAAACTGTCTTGTGAAACCCTCACCCTGTCTTATAGCTGGTTGGGGACAAGGCCTGTGAAAATAGG